CTATAAAAGAAAATTTTCATCCTTTTATCTGTGTAAAAGTTGAGTCTCTTAATCAAGAATCAAAATTTGCTGGGGGAAAAATCAAGATATACCTTGACTTCGCTCTGACCAATCCAATTCTTCTCCAAATGATATCTAACCTCCCCATCAATATGACCAACATACTTCTTCAGCACTTCAGGCCTCAGGAACTCACTTACAGCACCTCGAACTCGTCTGTGATCATCCCCAACCAACTCCAGCATGTTCCTCCTCCCTATAATCCTCGGTATCGATTTGGGCTGCTGAGGAACAACAGCCTCATGTGTGAATATGAGCTTGTTTGCAGCTGGACCAGTCAGAAATATAGTAGGAGCACCAAAGAGTGTGAGCTTCGATATAGGCCCATACTTTTCTATCCTCTGGGCCAGCCATTCTTCGCCTTTATTGGTCCACATTGCATGAAGAAGCCTGAGGCTCTGGCCGATGAAGGGAATGCCCAGAGAGCCAGGAGGGAGTTTTTGGTGTTTTTTCATTGATTTGCTTAGGAGATAGAGGACAGGGAGGAAAGCAAGAAAGAGAAGTAGGAGAGGCATTGAAGACAATTTAGTGTGCAAGACAAGTTGAATGAAGGCCCTATTTATATATACATATGATGCTGTTCTTAGTATTTTGGAATATATATTAAGGAATTAGAGAATGCAAGATTCCTTTTCAGGTCAGAACAAAAGAGGATCTAGTTGAGTAGCTAATTAAGAATCATGAAAGTTAGAAATGGAACAAGGGAATTTTTGGTTTAGGCCCCTTGTTTAATTCTGATTTTGAAGTACATACTTCAACCAATAAACTCTTGAACAAAACTCTCTGGATTGTATTTGACTAGCACTCATTTTCTTTTTTTAGAGATCAAAATACCCAAAAGGGCCTATGGTAAATCTTGAAAGTATGACAAACTTTAAAATAAGACACCCCTCCCAAAGGTCTTCTTTGCTTAATATAATAAATAGATACTAAGAGCATAATCTTGAAAGAACCAGCGAAAGAGATTATAATTATCTCTCTTCATGGTGTCAGAGTCATTAAAGTCCATCAAAATAATTTTCCTTGAAGATTAAAGATCAATGCATTCATCCTAGCATCTATCATTTCACTTCTGTTTCGTAAACCAATGATTGAATCAACTATTATGAAAGGATCCATCAATAATTATGAACGGAAAGTTAGTTCAAAAGAAACAAATAATAAGGCCTTGAATTTCCATATTCCAACATCAGAAGATCAAATTATCCCAAAAGTTCATCTTTGTGCCCTCTGTATTTGGAGACATAGTTATTTATACCATCTAAACTATTTTTTTACTACTTACAATCATTAACATTGGTTGGAGTTCGAAAAAATGAGACTGAAGAACATAAAACAAAGCTTTATTGAGTCAAAGGTGTATATTTTCATCTTATTTCATAACTAAAAAAAGATAATGAAACGATTTACATAAAGTAACAACATCGTTAAAAACGAAGTATGAGAAGAAACAAAATATAGGCTTGAAAAAGAGAGAGTCATGGTGGCTGAGGAATCAAAGAATGTCATACTTCATTATAACACCCAATTGGCAAACTTATGCATCAGCACTATAAAACAAAAAGATTTAGGTATCAATTTGGAATCTTAAGGTTCTGAAAACCAGAATATTCCCATTGTCCAAGGATCCAAGAAAATCATCTAGATGTGTCAAATGCTTATGAGAATCAGTCCATGTCATGCTAAGACTGTTATTATTATAGGAGATAATCCAAATTTTAAGGCCCTCAACTTACAAGTTCAACTAGTAGTCCACAAAGAAATCAAAAAAAAGTTTCAGCATAGAATTCAAATTAATAATTTTATACATGATAGAAAAATAAATTCCTTTTGTTCATATTGTCTCTTACAAAATAAAGATATCGAGATGGTGAGTAGCTATCCAAGAGACAACTAGAAGAGTAGGATTGTTACAGTGCCAATAAGTAAATAAGTTCCAAACTTTTTATGGAAAACTTGATCAAATGGTTTCTGTTCATTTTATGCCACAAAATGCAAAATTTCCAAATGTTGGCCTCCTCAATAGAAACTAATGGTATAACTGTTCAAAGCTGTACATCACATTTTATTTTCCTTTTTCCGGAGAATTAAAAGTGTTTGGCACCTCATCAACAGAGTGATTTTGTTGATGTTCCTTGAAACAAGTTTTATGATGAAGATTTGTCTCCTGTTGAAGTTCATAAGTTTTTCTCCAAATCTGCATTTTGTACTTTCAGTATTTTTCGTTTCACATACTGGTACCTCATCATATTTGTATCCCGTATCTATACCAGCTATATATATAACACTTCTTGATGAGAGACCAGATATTTAATTGTATTCAAATTATTGAACTATCGCATACATCAATCTTATATTAACTGAGGCGACGATACTCAGAATTGAACACGATATTAGGTTTTCATTAATCATTTGATAAACACAGGATAATCCAATAGGATTATCTTTGTTCTTCTAATATTAATTCAAATACACATAACACAGTGCGTACATAATCTAAGACATTAATGTATGTTGACATATTAGTATTATTAGGGACTCTATTGTAAGTTTTGTAGGCGTGACTTAAAGCCAAAGATTCATACATGAATTAGGTTTTCATTAAATGGTGATCAGCGCACAAACTAGACGGACACCCCCCCTGGCCCTTTTTTCTCCTCCCGCGTGCCCGCCCCCCCCCCACCCCACCCTTCTCTCGTCGATCAAGCGAAAAAAAGGCCCCCCCCCCACTCCGTTCTTCCGTGTCGGCGGCGACGCCACCAGAGCATCGAGCAGCCCCCCCCCTCTTCTTTCTGTCGATCAACGAGCCCGCGCCCGCCTGGTTTGACCCCTGTTCTCGCTCCTGTTCGAGACCCGAACCCCAGCCCTCCTGGTTTTCCCTCCTGTCCGGAGCCCAACCGCCGACCCCCCCCTGTGTCCAATCAAACCTCCGCCTACCCCATTTTACGGACCGAACGGGGTGTGGTGTGGTGGTGTGTGTTTTTTACCCCCCCGACCTCTGTTCCCAGACCGAACCCCCCCCTGATCCGCTGACCGCCTGTTCCCCGACCCGAACCACCCCCCGTTGCCCCCCTGTTCCCAGACCCGAACCCCCCCTCTAAAATTCTTTCTAGCCGCTGCCACCTCGAGCTCCCCCTCCCTGCTGCGCTATGCCGGACCTAGAGTTTGGCATGGGTTCCCTCGACTCAGTCCTCGAACTGATGACAGGAAGAGTATATATCTCACTTCGATGAGATATATTACTATTTTTGGTTCTTGTTTCCTCTGAGAAACGAGAATTTGTTTGAGATCCTCCTCTTGTTGTGCAGCAGAGGTGCTGCCGAAATTTTTACTGCACACAACAAGGGTTGGAAGAGAAGGTGACCAGGTGTTGGGTCTGAAGCCTGTTCGATGGAGGAGATCATCAAGAAGTTGAACCCCGCGGAGGTGTCAACTTTGATGAAGCTAATGAAGTTGTCGGCTGGTGAGAGTGCGACAAAACCATCGAAGAAGTTGGAGCTTCCGACCATCGACCTGAAGCTTGATGGACCAAGTACGTACTTGAGCTGGTCACGACGGGTGAGATACACCCTTGCAGGGAGGAACCTGGAGGGTTACCTGACAGGAGAGGCGACAGAACCGGAGGAGGACTCAGAGGGAAGAGATGAGTGGAAGACCACTCATATGTTGGTGTACATCTGGCTTCTCAACTCGTTGGTCCCAACGATCGCCGCCACGGTAGATGGCATTGAGAAGGTGAAGGACGTCTGGGAGAAGTTGAGGAGGACGTATGATGGAGTGGGGAATAACCTGAGGGTATTCCAGATTAAAGGAGAGATCGACGCCACAGTCCAGGGAGAGCGGACTGTACAGGAGTATGCCACAGAGCTTGAGCGTCTGTGGCTAGATTATGATCACTTCTCACCTCGGGCGAGCTGTAAGGACCCGGGATGTAAGGAGCGGGAGGCCTTCCTACAGGAGCGGACTATGGTATTCCTCAAGGGATTGACATCAGAATTCGCTCAGCGAATTGCGTTGCTGCTAGCTCAGCCAAAGATTCCCACGCTTGAGGAGGCTATCTCTGCTATGATCCAGGAGGAGACTCGCATTCGGCTGCAGGCGGTGTACAGGAGTATGCCACAGAGCTTGAGCGTCTGTGGCTAGATTATGATCACTTCTCACCTCGGGCGAGTTGTAAGGACCCGGGATGTAAGGAGCGGGAGGCCTTCCTACAGGAGCGGACTATGGTATTCCTCAAGGGATTGCCATCAGAATTCGCTCAGCGAATTGCGTTGCTGTTAGCTCAGCCAAAGATTCCCACGCTTGAGGAGGCTATCTCTGCTCCGATCCAGGAGGAGACTCGCATTCGGCTGCAGGCGGGGACAGGTGGACTTCCTGTGGTGAAGTCAGCACTGGCAGCCTCTAGCAACACTGGACCTAGGGGAGAGACCCGACAGTGCTACAACTGCGGTGCGGTGGGTCATCTACGGTATGCTTGCACCAAGCCATCTAAGGAAGGAGATTCGGGTGGACGTGAACAGTTCGGAGGTCGTGGTCATGGCCGTGGGGGTCGACGAGGTGGAAGAGGAGCAGGAAATCGGGCGAATCTGACGGTAGCAGAAGAAGAAGAAGCTGAGGTGGTCTTTACAGAGGAGGATCGTGCTCTCCTCACGATACTCAGGAAAAAACACCAAATAGCAGGGGATGGAGATTTGAGGAGTGGGACTGCGGAGGCATCCACTTCGTTCTTCGTCAGAGGCAATACTGCTACCTATGCTCATCCAAACAAAGGTACTGATGACATACATGCTCTTGCTTCTATGTCTCCCGACAGATCATCAGAGTGGATAGTCGACTCCGGTGCATCTCGCCATGTGACAGGTAATGCTAGTGAGTTCTCATCATATACTCACTTAGCATCGCCTGATAGTATTCAAACAGCTGATGGTACATTTCAGCCGGTGGTTGGTAAGGGTACAGTCGATTGTACTGGTTCTGTAACCTTGTCCAATGTTTTGCATGCTCCTTCTTTTCCAGTCAATCTTTTATCCATTAGTTCTATCATCCTCCAACTAAAATGCATTGTTTCCTTTGATATTCCCAAGGTGATTTTCCAGGAGAAGGGGACAGGGCGGAGACTTGGGACTGGCACATGGCGTAGTGGACTGTGGTATCTGGATCGTGATGGGCTGGATGCAGCATTGGTGTCAGTCATAGAGGAAGCAGGAGTAGGATCCAAAATGAGTGCTGAAAATGAGTTAATGCTCCATCACCAGCGTTTGGGACACTCATCCTTTAGTGTTTTAGGTAGATTGTATCCTTTTTTATTTGAGAAAGCAAATAAACAGAAACTTGTGTGTGATGCATGTGAGTTTGGAAAGCTTACTAGAAGCTCTTATGTTAGTTCTGGTCATAGAAGTTCTCATGCATTTGACCTGGTACATTCAGATGTTTGGGGGCCTTGTTCCACAAGTTCTATGAATGGATACAAATATTTTGTTACATTTATTGATTGCTTCTCTCGTGTTACTTGGTTATACCTGATGAAGAATAAGAGTGATGTGTTTGGGTGCTTCCAAAATTTTCATAAGACTGTTCAGACTCAATACGGAGCAGTGGTGAAAGTATTGAGGTCAGATAATGGGACAGAGTATACCAACAGAGCCCTTGAAGAATATTTGCCAGCTCAAGGAATACATCACCAGACAACCTGCCCATACACACCAGCACAGAATGGGGTAGCGGAAAGGAAGAACAGACATCTGTTAGAGGTTGATAGAAGCATGATGATCTCTATGAATGTCCCAGAAACATTATGGGGACAAGCAGTATTGACCGCAACAGCGTTGATCAACAGAATGCCCTCGAGAGTGCTGGATTGGAAGTCTCCGTGTGAGATATTGAAGGGAGATAATGGTGGGATCCTTCCACTCAAAGTATTTGGATGTGTGTGCTTTGTGTAGGACAACAAGCCATCTGTCGGGAAGCTTTCCCCTAGAGCTGTGAAGTGTATCTTTGTGGGATATTCTGCTACTCAGAAGGGATATGTTTGCTGGAGCCCGGTGGAAAAAATGTTGTTTGTGAGCATGGATGTGCACTTTCGAGAACTCGAGCCATATTACACCCAGAAGGTAACTTCATCTGCTAGTAACTCGCCCAATACTAGAAGTATGGGGCGAGAGGAGGAGAATGGTGAGATACCGGAGAGCAATAATGTGGAGAAATCCATTTCTATATCGATTCCTTGGGAGGGAGAATTGGTTGAGGAGGAGTTAGTTGAGGAGGAGCAGGAGAATCAAGAAGAAAAGGAAAATGAGACAAGAGGTGTTAGGCCCACTGTTCAGGGGGAGCTACTAACATATAGTAGGAAGGGCAAACAAATTGCAGGAACAGTACCTACAGTGCCACTAATGCTGCCAAGTCTCTTGCCAACGCCTACCCCGACTTCTGAAATACCACCAATTTCATCTCAAGGTGATAGCATTCCTACTGATAACATTCCTCTCCCTACTCCTCCCACACCAATATCAGTACGGAGGACTACTCGCAGTAATGCGGGACATCCTCCCGATAGATATGGTTGGGATCTTGCCCAATATGTATCATATTCTAGTATCCACCCTGCATATGGAGCATTCATTGCATCATTGGACTCTGTTACTGTACCTAACAATTGGCAGGTTGCTAAGAAGGACCCAAAATGGAAAGCGGCTATGCACGAGGAGCTAGGAGCTCTAGAGAAGAACCGCACTTAGGAGCTAGTAAAGTTACCAGAAGGAAAGGGAGCAGTTGGATGCAAGTGGGTCTTCACTGTGAAGCAGAATCCAGATGGACAAGTTGAGCGCTACAAGGCTCGCCTGGTGGCAAAAGGGTATAGTCAGACATATGGCATCGATTATGATGAGACTTTTGCACCGGTGGCGAAGATGAGCACTGTTCGGACCTTAATCTCTCTGGCAGTAAATGGTGGATGGAAGCTACACCAACTAGATGTGAAGAATGCATTTCTTCATGGAGATCTAGTGGAGGAGGTATACATGGAGATACCACCAGGATTTGGTACAGATCAGACAGTGGGAAAGGTCTGCAGATTGAAGAAGTCTCTCTATGGTCTGAAGCAATCTCCCCGTGCTTGGTTCGACAGATTCAGAAGGGCTATGATTGGTATGGGATACCAACAGATCAACGCCGACCATACAGTGTTCTTTCGACGGAGTGGAGGCCACATTACTATGCTTGCGGTATATGTGGATGATATGATTATTACAGGGGATGATGAGAAGGAGATTGCCCAACTCAAAGTGAGACTGGGTAAGGAATTTGAGGTGAAAGATCTTGGCTTGCTTAGATACTTTCTTGGAATAGAGATAGCTCGAGGAGCGGAGGGGATTGTCTTATCCCAGAGAAAGTATGCACTGGATCTTCTCAAAGAGACAGGGATGTTAGGGTGCAAACCTGCAACTACACCGATCGACCAGAAGTTCAAGCTAGGTGCTGAGACTGGAGAACCAGTTGATCGTGACAGATATCAGAGGTTGGTGGGAAGGCTGATCTATTTGAGTCACACACGTCCTGATATTTCTTTTGCAGTAAGCGTGGTGAGTCGCTACATGCACGATCCGAGGAAGGGTCATATGGACGCTGTGTACCAGATTCTGAGATATTTAAAGAGTGCCCCCGGAAAGGGGCTGATATTCAAAAAGAATGGACATGTGAATATCGAGGGTTATTGCGACTCTGACTGGGCTAGCTGTGCTGATGACAGGAGGTCCACCTCAGGATACTGCATCTTTATAGGAGGCAATTTAGTCTCGTGGAAGAGCAAGAAGCAATCAGTGGTGGCGAGATCGACAGCTGATGCAGAGTATAGAGCTATGGCCTTAGGAGTTGCTGAGTTGCTATGGTTGAAGAGTATGCTGTTGGAGCTGAAGCTGGATCAAGGAGCTAAGATGAAGTTATGGTGTGACAACAAGTCAGCTATCAGTATTGCCAACAACCCAGTGCAGCATGATAGAACCAAACACATCGAGATCGATAGGTTCTTCATCAAAGAGAAGTTGGATAGTGGACTACTGGAGCTAAGTCATATTGCGACTAAGGACCAGGCAGCAGATTGTCTGACTAAAGGGCTCAGCTCAGTAGATATGATTAGAGGATGTGACAAGATGGGCTTAATAGATATCTTTCGCCCATCTTGAGGAGGAGTGTTGACATATTAGTATTATTAGGGACTTATTTGTAAGTTTTGTAGGGGCCTATATAAAGCCCAAGAGATCTCATAATGAATTAGGGTTTTCACATTCTACAATGTATAATACAAATCTTCAATCATGAACACAACGATGGATCTTGCAACTCAACAGCCTGACTCAAGTATGTTACTTGGTTACAATACATCAAAAATTTATGCTGCAACGTTTACTCAGATTTAACAGGAATATGGTTACCACCAGTTGCAATCTTGTAGAGATATAATGCAGTCATAATTGCACTGCAAGAGATTATAGAAGGAACAAATGAGCTTGGAATGTTTGAGTGTAGAAACTCTTGGTGATAAATTTTTCTTTATTATGTCTAAATTTACAAGTGAAATGGAGACTTGTTGGTTCAGAAAAAATAAAAATCAATAACCTAAAAGAGTTCCTAAGAAAATAAAACAATCCATCTCCCTGAAAATGGTGTGTCATTACTTTAAATGTTTTACTAACATCGATAGAAGGGTGAGAATGGAAAATTGAAGCTATCCAAAGAACTAACCTGAGGGCAGCAACTATGCCCGCTGGCATTATCTTCAAGGTCTGAAGCTACCCTTTGTCCTGTAACATATGTTAATGCCAGCGAACAAACTGTGACACATTCAATAATTTCAATAAATTATTTAGACAATGACAAGGAGATAAATCATCGGAAAACCAAAATGAATGACAACATAGAAAGGAATCGAGTAGCTTTTTGTTTTCTTAACAGTGTATCAGTGACAACACAAATAAATTGAAATTGTTGAAGCAACTGTATCAACAACAGGAGGCAATACTGGTATGTCCAAATAAACACGGAGCTCATTTATTTTGAATTCTCTAAAATTCTATTGAAATATCTCAAAAATTGGTTTACATCTTTACTTCAATCCAAAATGAGGTGACAATGTTTAAGCGAGAGGAAAAAAACAACCAATGAACACTAATAGGCAATGGTTATTCACAGGAATCTATCAGAGTTATTGTTCTAATACGGAGCTCCACATTTTTCCATATTGAGACTAGAGATAATGGACAACGTTATAATTGTTCTTTAATTTATCAACATGGGTAATATTTTCCTGAAGATTGTAATGAAAGTGTTAAATCTCTTAAGTAGTTTACAATTCTTCTATGTGCATACTGATTTTGTTTTTAGCTATTTGTCTTTTGCAATAAAAAGAAAATGCAAAGACACTCGGTTATTGGGATGGAGATGGCACACCTTAATATATGGAGTTTTCTTGGGAATTTTGGGATGCTATTCTATCCGGCAAGCAAAACACAAGAACCAAACAAAACTTATTTGCCTGACCTCAAAACAAGCATAATATAAGACTACCTGCAATGTCCAGTCTTCTTAATACAAAATAATCTCAACAAAAAAAAAAAAAAGCAAAGTTAAATCATTATTTGGACCTCCTCAGTCTAAAACAAGCACAACAAAACAATACTCATCTCTCCTAATCCTCAGCAAACACAAAATCCAACACTTACAATAAAAGAAACACAATAACATTGCAAAAACTAAATCAATCCTAATCGGGCCAAGATGGCGAAAAAAGAGAATAAACTTGAATCAGTTTCGACGAAGAACGCGAGGTAAGAATTCCTGCGCTTCTCAAAAGCACTGAGGCTGACAAATCCAGAGAGGAGGAGGAGGATGCCGGAGCCAACGCCACCGGCCAAAGACGCAGTGCTCCCTGTCTTGGTGTAGCCCATGAGGCCACCAACGCTCACCAATAGCCCATACGGGATCGTGAAGCAGAAATCATGCATCTCCTCCCTCCCTTTTTTTTTATTTTTTAATGCTTGTTTTTGGGTTTTTATTTTGGTTTTTGTTAGATCTTGTAGAGTTTTGTTGGGCTCGTGGTATGCACTCTCTATGAGAGGCACTATTATTGCTATTGGCAAAGTGAAATGTTTAGGTAGTGTTGGATTTGGTCATGGATTAGTCAGAAGTTTGAACATGTTCAGGATCAACGTGACAAACTCAACCTTGCTCGAGTCTTGGAGTTTTGACATTTTTTGGCATTATAGACACTAAAGCACATTGATTAATATGTGATTATACGCACATATTATGTATGGAGAAGACCTAAATAGAATACATATCCTTCGTGTGATTGCTCTTGTTCACAGAGTAAAAAGATAAAGAATGTTAAAATTTTGCTATTGATGTAACTGATCTTAAATGTAAGGGATGTATTTACAAAGGATGTATTTACAAATAACATTTTGAGATCTTTATCGGTATTTAAAATTTCTTTGAAACCTATTTGTCTATCTATTGAAAGAAAAACTACCTAGCATCAATTTGTTCAAGACTTTTTAAAAAATCTAAATAATGTTTCATAACAGATCAAACAACTTTGAAAGATAAAAGATTCCTAACATGGAATCGAAGATAAAAGATTTCTTTTTTATAGCCCAACCTGGAATCGAACTCAAGACTGTGGAATCCATGTTGAAATCTCTAGGATTTTTTAATATCACTTTTAAGCCTTATTTAATGATAAACTCCAGATTCAAACTTGCTATTATTTTTCCTACAAATACAAAACAAGAAATTGGGGGGAAAGTTTCCTAACAATTTATAATCTTGTTTGGAACAAATATTCTCACCTGGCAATGGTGTTTCTAAACCCTGGCTCAAACCTTAAAAGCCTCTCACCAATTCAGACTCGTTTCCTCTCTAACATCACCAATCTCCTCCAAACTCCAAACCCTAACCCTAACCCTAGAATCCCCATGGCCAGCACCCCCTCAAAAAGACCATTTTGCCACCGCTGCACAAAACCCCACCGCCTCTGCCTCTGCTCCCGCCTCAAGACCCCGCCATTGAACAACCCGATCTCCATCACCATCCTCCAACACTCCCTCGAGAAGCGCCACCCTCTGAACTCCACCAGGGTCGCCCAATTAGGGTTCAAGAACCTCGCCGTGGTCCCCGTCACCGACGTCAACTTCACCGCCCGCTTCGCCGTCCGCCCAGTCGTCGAAAGATCGGATTTTGATAAGACCCGTTTAGCTGGTTTTGATAATGGAGACGGCTCCGGTGATGGGTCCAGTCCTGATCAATTGAAGAAGTTGAAATGCAATGGGGTTGAGGGTGGTGTAGAAGCGACTTCTGATCCAAATCGATCGGATTCCGTCGAAAGATTGGATTTTTCAGGTACCCGTTTGGTTGATTATGATAATGGTGATGGTTTTGATAATGGGTCTTTTGTTGATCAATTGACGAAGCATAAAAGTTCAATGAAGAAATTGAGATGCATTAAACTCGAAGATGGGGTAGAAGCGGTTTTTGACAAGTATCGACTCGCTTGCTCTGCCGGTGAGCTTGTAATCGACATTGAACGCACTGCGAAGCCTGATATCAGTTGGGTTCTGAACACTCCATTCGGCCGAGTCTTGGCGCGTAATGAATTTAGGGTGACAAAGTTACAGAGGAAGCAACTGAAGCCTAGTAGTGAAGAGCTTGAAGATTTCGAGGAGTTTGACATTGTGATACCTCCAGGAGCTGCACTTCTGTTTCCTGGAGGGAAGTCGAGTTTCGATCCGAAGGAAATGGATTTCGAAGTGAAGCATTTGATTGTTTTGGATGGAACTTGGGCGAAGGCACAGAGAATGTACCATGAGAATCCATGGTTGAAGCTTTTGCCACACATAAAGTTGGATTCGGAGAAGGAGAGCTTGTATAGTGAAGTGAGGCATCAACCTAAGGTCGGGTGTTTATCGACAATAGAGAGTATTGTTTGCGCATTGAAGGGACTGGGGAATGATATGGAGGGATTGGATGATTTATTGGATGTTTTTGAATCGATGATTATCGATCAAAGGCGGTGCAAGGATGAGAAGTTCAAGGACAAGGATATGGCGTAGAGCGCATTTGAGGTAGTATTCTGATTGCGGCTGGTAATTCTTTGGACATCTGTGATGTTGGCGATGAAATTTTATAGAGCAGGTGGAGGAAATGGGATGTGTTCTATTGGGATTTCTCTGCTTGCTGGCGTTAAGCGCACGTCCATCTGTAGAACTTTCGCACGTAATGAAACAAATGTTGGGGATTGTTTTAAGATTTTGATCTCAATGCCAACAAAATCTGCTGTATGCTAACATTCTACTGGTGGATCTTGTCAGTATTTTGGTAATTAATAACCTGGTAACTTTTATCAGCTTAATCCTGCCAAGATCAACTTAATGAAAGTTACATTTGCTGGATATGATTATCAATATCCAAATAACTAGTCAAGTGGGATCAGTTAAAGTTTGGTTTGATTTAGATACATCATAAGTCAAGCTCGCAAATTTACATTTTAAATTTTAATATACACATCAGACTGAATTTCACGTATTTAAGGAGGCAGAGAGGGTACACTGCATTACTCTCTTACACCACAGTAATATTTACAACAGATAGCAAACTAGAGGACCACTCTAATGATATTTGTGGTTCTCACTTATACTAGAGCACCGCCAGGATTTTCCTGAGCTCATGCTTCTTCCCAACAATGCATCCATTACCGACCAATGAGTTGATCCAAACCTGATCAGATTTCACTGGTTCATCGTCGTCATTTCTGTGCCAGCTCCAAAATGCATGTGTTTCATTAACAATCTTCAACTCGCCATGGCCAAAGCTCGCTTCACGAAAGATTGACCACTGTGGCTTTGGGTTTCGATACCTATAATTAAATTATGACAGAATAATATCAACATCTTTGAAATTATGAAGGCATCTCCCTAAAGTATACTTAACTTACCAATGAGCCAATCCTTCTCTATTGCCTCCGTCACCGATGGTTATGTGTACAGCACCACAAGGATCCAATATATCATTATAGACACGTTCCTAGATCAAAATCATATGTTATATAAACTTCTCTAGGAGTTTAAACAAAGAAGTTTTGAAAAATAAAATGCAAATTTCTGCAGATTACCGAGCGTTCATAAGCATGAACATGGCCCGCGAGGAGAATATCTACACCAGCAGCATAAAGCAAGGGCTCCATTGAAGCCTTCATTCTATTACCTTCACCTTGGTGTGCCCAATTGCTATTGTACCATGGAGCATGTAACAATACCAGCAGCCATGGTGTCCTTTCTCTGTCAACCTTAGCAAGATCCTCCTACAATGGTAGAATATGGAATCAATATTCTTATTAAGAAGTAGACACTATGAGAACGAGAACAAGAAAATATAGCTCTTTAGCTTTAGTTCAGCCAAAATAGAGCGACCAAAGAGGTCTTGTAACTAGATGAGTCCCAGTCAGTTATGGTTTTCCAATTTCATATGATTATTATGTCAATTTGTTTATGTTAGGTTTTGTTTTCCAATTATTTGCCAACTATACTGCCTTCCACCAATTTAATTTTCTGCTCCGTCATATAAACAAATTGACTGTAACAGAGTCACAAAGTCAATCCTGAAAGAAACGAATTCCAAATAACCTTTAGCCAAGCATACTGCTCCGAGTACTCATCGTAATCTGTATAAGAACCAAGCATGATAACATGAACCCCCGCCACTTCAAAAGAGTAGTACAAGTTTGAACTAGATCCACTCTCTTCATAAGGCATCTTCCACCTTGCATTATACGCTTGAAACCCAGACTTCAGAAGAAAGATCTTCTCCTTCTCATGATTTCCTTCTGTCGTCATCCATGCCCTTGCACTGGCAAGCGGCTGCACCAGCGCACCAAAAGAATCCCAAAGGTGTTGTTGGTAATCAGCGTATGAAAGGTCACCAGGAATCAGATGTAAATCGTATTTGCATTGTCCTATGTGATCTAGAGTGGTTTTTGTCCACTCAGTTTGACCGAGATCACCAGCTACTGCAAAAGTTACAGGAAACCGAGAAGGAGGCGTCTTCAATTGGAACTCAGGATCCTGCCCTCCACATCGGTAGAAATAAACTGTGTCATCTTCAAGGGGTCCGATAACTACATGGTGTATAGTACCTGAAGAGTACATTAAGTAGCTGTAGGATGTGCTTTCTCCTTGAGAAGACGATGTGTATTTTCCATGTGAAGTTCCATATTCAACAATTGAAGGAGAGGATGTGTCATCAGTTATCCATGTGATTCTCATGTGTTTTTCTCCAGCCAATGAAATGTGAACCTGAAAAAGAGCAGAATTATGTAGATATTTATATGAATTTAAGTTAGTGAATAGTCCAATGTTGAAATATTGCTTGCGCCAAACTGCCAAATTATGATATATTTTCCAAAAGATAAATAGAAATACTTACCAAAAATGCAATCTTAATTTCTTCAGCAGCATTTCTTTCCATTTCCAAAAGGGTCATTTTATGTCCTAATAAAGTTCTGAGAACAGTTGCCAGCACAAGCAATAGCTTGGATCGCAAGGGTTTTTAATTCCACCAGCATTCACGTATTTTGAACTTGTTCACAATATTTTTTTGAACCTTTTATACATACATATGGTACATTGTTTTCTTATTAATTATTGTACCACTGCTCAAAATTATTTACGAGAAGTATGAATATGGAAATAAAGAAATCACTATGTGTTTTTTCCGCTAAGCCAATAAACCTATCCTTGCATCACTATGTGTTTTTTTCCCCTAAGCAAATAAAGCTATCATTTGATCTATAAATCACTAGTTGCTAAATGAACGAAAATTTATAAAATCATGGGATATATAACCACATGAAAATCACAAATTTTGTTGTAACCATACTTAATTGACATTTGGTTGAAATGAATAAAAATTGACAAAAATCGTGGGCTAACCCATGAAAATTGCAAATGTTGATGTGCACATACTTTACTTCCATTCGGTCAAAACCAACAAAACTTGACAAAAATCGTGCATTATAGCTTCTTAAATTAAGAATTTTGAACTATGCATACCTAATTGCCATTTGATTGAAACGAATGAAAATTGTCAAATATCAGAGGTTACAAAGCATGAAAATTGCAAATTTTGATGACACAAACTCAATTTCCATTCGGTTGAAATGAACGAAAATTGATAAATCATGGGTTATAGCTTATGAAAATCTTGAATATTTTGACATATGCATAGTTAATTACCATTTAGTTGAAATGAACGAATATTAACAAATCATGGTTTACAACCCATAAAAATCGTGAAGGTACACACACTTAATTGTCACTTGATCAAAATGAACAAAAATTGACAAGAATGATGGATTGCACAGGAAATTGCAAATTTTGTTGTACAAATGCTTCACTTTTATTTCGTCAAAATGAACAAAAATAACAAATATTATGGAATATAGCACATAAAAATTGCGAATTTTGAAGTACGCATAGTTAAGTATCATTTAGTTGAAATGAATAAAAATTGATAAAAACAATGTTCTAACCCATGAAAATCAAGAATTTTGAAGTACGCATACTTAATTGTCATTTCGTTGAAATGAACGAAAATGGACAAAGTGGTGGGTTAACACATGAAAATCACATATTTTGATATACATGTGCTTCATTTCCATGGAATCGAAACAATCGAAAATTGAAAAATAATCGTATGTTACTTATTAAATCGCAAATATTTAACTGCATACTTAATTGTCATTTGGGTGAAACGAAAAAAGATTGACATGAATTTTGAATTTATGGATCATGAAAATAGTAAATTTTGGCGTACACATACTCCACTTTCATTCATTCAAAACGAACAAAGATTGACAAAAATCATCGTTATAGCCCATGAAGATCGTAAATTTTGAAGTAAGCATACTCCATTATCATGTAGCTAGAACAAACAAAAATTCACGAAAATCATCAGTTATTGTTTATGAAAATCGTAGATTTTGAAGTATGCGTAGTTAATTATCATTTAGTCAAAATAAACGAAAATTGACAAAAACCATGGATTATAGTCCATGAAAATAATAAAATTTAAAGTATGCATTGCGATTTTGGTCGAAATGAACGAAAATTGACAAAAATTATAGTTATAGACCATGAAAATCATAAATTTTGATATACACATACTCAATTTTCATTTGGCCGAAACAAATGAATTCACAAAAATCATGGTTTCGAGTCCAAAAAAATCGCGAATTTTGAAGTACATGTTTAATTATCATATGTTCGAAATGAACGAAAATGAACATATATCATTAGGTTGAAGCCCATGAAAATCGTGAATTTTGGAATATGCATATTTAATTATTGTTTAGTCAAAATGAATGAAAATTGATAAAAATGTTGAGTCATAGTCCATGAAAATCAAAAATTTTGAAGTAGACATAATTAATTGCCATTTGATTGAAACAAATGAACATTGATAAAAATTGTGGGTGATAGCCCATGGCGATCACAAATTTTAATGTACACATATTTCATTATCATTCAGTAAAAATGAATGAAACTTGATAAAAATCATGGCTTATAACCCCTTAAATTGTAAAATTTGAACTACTAATTACCATTTAGTTGAAACGAACGAAAATTGATAAAAAAAATTAGTTATAGACTAAGTTGCATGGAAACGGGTACAGGTACGGGTGTGGGTATAGGTACGGGACACGTCAAAACTATAAAATGTAGGGTAGGGGGACACGGTTATATATATATATATATATATATATATATATAGAGAGAGAGAGAGAGAATAATGATCCTATAAACTAAGTGGAATAGAAGCTCTTTATGCCACTGAAATTGTTTTGTCCATTGATTTTGCATGGGAATTTGTGCTATCATGTGATACAAATGGAGGCACAAATCTCAACAGAAAGCATTATGGGTAGCCCAAATCTACAAGCATAAAATGAAAAGGGATAACAAGTTTGGATGACAGTGTCTTATCCATAAGTTATAGGAGGCTTTACGATATATAATATATATATTATATAATAATACTATATATAATGTATACATTATATTATATAACAGGTAATATTATATATATATATAGAGAGAAGAGAGAACTATGCACTAAGGACCATCCACCAAACTTTCTATCCATTGATGATACCTAGATATCCATGCAATATATAAAGCTTTATATATATATATATATTAATATATATATATATATAAGTGGATAAAAAATTAGTGACCAAAGGCCTCTTGTCCACTTAAGTGACATACTAATTCACAACTCTCTCTTATATTATTTATATTAGATATATATATATATATATTATATATAAATAATTAATAATATATATATAATTAATAATGTACATGAGATCATTTTTTCCGCTTCATGTGTCATTAGAATTAAAATTATGATCACATTTTAAGTTACTTTTATCATATTGACTATCATAAATTGGAAACTGTTCACTTTTTTACTAGACATCCAAACGATCCTTTTAACTCTATAGTTTTGAACTTAGGTATGGACTGAAACGAACCTGACCCATATCTAACTAGTTTCAAGAAACAAATGTGAAGTGTAAGCTATACGTCCAAAAAGTATTTTAAATTAACACTTAGATCATATAATTGAGTACATGTTGTAATAAATGAATGTATATATTCAAGAAGTGTCCATGAAGTTTGGGTATGGGAAAGTGTCGGGTATGTGTCTGGTATGGGTACGGCTTCATTATAGAAGTACCTGGGTAACATAGGTTATAGACCATGAAAATCGTAATTTTGATGTATACATTCTCAATTTTCATTCAGTCAAAATGAACAAAAATTGATAAAAATCCTTGATTATAACCCATGAAAATCGTGATTTTTGAAGCACTTATAGTTAAATATCATTTAGCCAAAAGGATAGAAATTGACAAAAATTGTAGGTAAGCTAATGTAAAATCATGAATTTTAAGCTAAGCGTAATTAATTATCGTTTAGAAATGAATGAAAATAAATAAAAATTGTATGTTATTCATAAAAATTGTGGCTTTTATAATACGCATACTTAACTATTATTTGGTCAAAATGAATGAAAATTGACAAAAATGATAGGTTGACTGCCCATGAAAATCGCAAATTTTAATGTACATATACTTAATTTCTATTTGGTCGAAACGAACAAATATTGACAAAAATTATTAATTATAGCCCATGAAAATCGTAATTTTTAATCTACTCGTACTTCATTGCCATTTGGTCCAAACGAAGGAAAATTAACAAAAATCATGGATCATAGCCCATTAAATTACGAATTTTGAACAATGCGTACTTAATTGTCATTTGGTTGAAACGAACAAAACTTCACAAAAATTGGTTGTTATAACCATGAAAAACGTAAATTTGATTGACACATACTCAATTTTATTTTGTCAAAATAAATGAAAATTGGCAAAAATAATAGGCTAAATCCCATTCCCAAATTTAGAACTACGCGTACTTAATTATCATTTGGTTGAAATGAACAAACATTGACCAAAATTGTTGGTTATAGCCATGAAAATAATAAATTCTGATGTAGACATACTCAATTCTCATTCTGCTGAATTAAACAAAAATCATGGATTATAGCCCATAAATTGTGACTTTTGAAGTATGCGTAGGAATGAAAACTGCAATACATCATGGGTTAATAGCCCATGAAAATCGTGAATTTTGAACTATGCGTAGTAACTATCATTTAGTGAAAATGAACAAAAAATTACAAAAATCATAGGTAGTCTATGAAAAATGTGAATTTTGAAGTATACTTAATTGTCATTTGGTTAAAATAAATAAAAACTAACAAAAATGTGGGTTACAGCCCATTAAAAACACACATTTTGATGTACACATACTTCATTGTCATTTAGTCGAAAAGAACGAAAATTGACAAAATTCTTCGACTATAGCCCATTAAATCACAAACCTTGAACTACGCATATTTAACTGCAATTTGGTGGAGATGAACGAAACTTAACAAAAATAGTTAGTTATAGACTATAAAAGCATAAATTTTTACGTACACATAATCATTTCTCATTCGGTCAAAACGAATGAAAAGTAAGAAAAATCATGTGTTATACTCCACAAAAATCGTGACCTTCAAAGTACAAATAGTCAATTATCATTTAGTCAAAATGAACGAAAATTGACAAACATTGTGGGTTATAATTTTGAAGTACGCATATTTAGTTTCCATTTTAATCAAAATAAATGAAATTTGAGGGGGAAAAGGGATTATATCTTGTAAATTTCGTAAATTTTGATGT